GGAGGGGGGGAGCCGCAGGTGCCGTGAGGAAACATCTCAGAAGATTGGGGTGGGACTTTTGCCCCGAGTTTCAACCTGAGCGGTTGCTACGAAATCCTTGGGACGTGGATAGTAAGGCACCCTCCGTTATTGGGTATTGTGTATAACTGCACGTATTTTAACATGCAAACATTCTAAGAATGGTACACTAAAAGAAGAAAAGAACGTTTCCTAGTTCTTACTGTATTTTATGTAATAAAAGCATCAGCATCCCACCTACTCCATCCATCTTGGCAACGCAGTGCGGAGTTGTTTACAGCACAGCGCTCTGCCCTTCAGCCGGTTATATCGCAGCTTCTCCTGCTTCCAGATGCTTCAAGGAGTGGCTATCGTTTACCAATGTTTTGGCTCCAGGGAGTTTGGGACTCTGAAGAATTTAAACCAGTTTTGCCAATAGCATAGGGTTTTCTTTTGTTTGTTTCAAGCAGATCTTTTCTCTTTTTTTCATATCTGTCCTTTTTCAGGCAACCTGCTGGAATTAGTGGTGCAGAAAGCGTGAAGCACTGGCTGTGTTAGGGTTGAGCGCATTGGCAAACAGCCTTGCATAGAACTCACTGCACTGTTTTTGTCAATGGTTTTCACAGCGGAGTGTATTTTACATCCTCTCCTGGTCCAGGATGGGGCAACCTGCCTGCAGAATTCAGAGCTGTGAGGACAAAGCCTTTCCTGAGGCCAGACCAAGGGAGAAACTTATTTAGGGAGGGAGCTTCCACTTTGTGTGCTGTGTAATCAACCAGTTGAATTCATTGCTGCAGGCAATCAAATCCTATGACTAGAAGTATCCGAGTGAAAACTTTGAAACAATACCACTCTTCATTGCCCTTACTTGAATGAAATAACCACACTATTGTGGCTGAAGCCGGCATTAGCAACCATACAAGCCAACATGACAGATGTTGATCATTCCTTGTTTTGCGAGGTACTACTGGCAGCTGAGAGAAGACAAGAAGCACCGCGCTGCCGCCCCTTTCTGCCTCTGCACGGTTGGCCTCGGCTGCTAGCGGTTTATCCAGGGCTGGAGCAAGGAAGAACTTTTGGAGAGCACTTCGGACTTGGAAAGGGACCATAATTACTGAGCATTTATTTTGCTATCCCCCCCAAAACTTCACAATTTTGTTTAGAATACAGAGCCTCCCTAACAGCATATGTTGCTCTGACTCTTTGTTTTCTTCCACATCAGACTAGAAGGTATTAGCCACCTTTGCAATATCCAGCTCAGCAAGGAAGCGCACACATGGAGAAGATTAGTGAAGTAACATATGAGATATGATACATTGTATGTATGATAGGTTGTACTGTTTTCATACAGTAGAACAGTTAATGACTGAATGTTCATTAATTGCCTGTCAGTTGCTGGACAGAAATTCAAGATTTGTGCCCCGATGCAGTTCTTCAGAAAGTTACTGCTTGACTATTTGGAGAGCAATACAGCAAACACAGGGCCTAGTCCTCTTTCTATACCTGTTTCATTTACCAGGCTGGCAGAAGACAGGTATAGGTATATACACGCTGATAGTCTCAAATATGATTCCTCCGGTTTTGCCTTGAATTACCAAGCGCAACTTCCAGCCAATGATGAAAGTACAATTTTCAGGTAGTTCTGAAAGGCTGGCAATAGGAATTTGTTACAGTTGCAAGTTTGTTGGTGATATTTACTTCATACATGGGAGGAAATAGCCCTGTGAAGTGGTTAATTTGTAGATGGTATGAACCTTATTTACTGTTGAGATAGGAATGCTCTTTGCTGCTCAAAGCAGCACTGAAGCGAGCTCAAGCAGCTTCTGGAGGCATCCTCCTCCAGCAAAGAAACATGTGATAGAAAATATTTTGATGGAGAATTGTAACTTGCTGTTCTTATCTGAATGCAGACATATCGGACCAAAAATGTGAGGATTCACTGATCCTCTTTTGACAGGAGGCTCCTAAAACCTGCTAGCAGTTATTATATTGTAGAAAAGCTTTTAAATTTCTCTAACTCTACAGAAGACAACTGTATGCTGCTATAGGCTGCATACAAGCCAGCACACAACTGGATCGTGGCAACGCAAGGAAGCAACGTTATAACCCGAGGTGTCACAAAGCCACCCGTACGTGACATATACTTCTCCTGTTTTTTACCAGCCATGTAGTCTCAGCCAAAGTTTCGGTCTTGTGTAATGCACTTTTTTGTTAATATGATTGAATCAGTTTGGTTTGTTTTTCATTCTAAGATGATAAATTGGCTGCATGCACAGAGTTTATAACTAGAAACCTGATAGGTAATCTTCAGTAATTTATCCCTCAATGTAGTAAACCGCAGCATTGTGCAACTGAATTCAGATGGACTACTTCGTCCTTAAATGCATACATGCTCCTTATTGGACGGTGGCGACTGAGCTGATATCAGATGCTGTTTGCTAGCAAGCTGAATGATATCTGCAATTCTTTGTCCTGATGGTGAGCAGTGTACTGTTTCTATAGCAAAATGCTTTCACTGAACTGTTGTGAAAATAAAGCTACCGCACTAACGCTGTCAAGTAAGTAGCCTCAATAGAAAAAAATCTTACACAAAAACAGAACACAGAACTGAGGGCATAAACTGGTAGTATATGATTTGGCATAGTAATTTTGAACTATTAGCATGGTTACACTATACCAAGTTTAAAGTTATACCTTAAAGGGAAGACTTAACAGACAAATTAAGTAATTGTCTGTACTACTGTGTGGGGTTTGTTTCTTGACTCTCATCTTGAGTAGAAAGGCAACAAATTCATCCACACAAGGATCTCTTCACTTCTAATTTGTCACCCTTATTTAGAGCCTTACCTGAAAGGTCAAATATTCTTGATTTTTCACTTTTGGCTCAGAACCCTTAAGCATGTTTTGATACTGATGCAGAGTTAAACAACATATTTGCACATGATAATTTGAGGTACAGTCTGCAGCTGTTAAAATTGTCCTTAATCTTCCAATTTGTTTAAAGAAGTTGCAAATGCACCATATTGTTTGAGTTGTTCTATGCAAAAACAAGTATAATCTTTGATGTTTAAGTAAAATGTGTAGTTCTTCTCTATATTTTACATACTGTGTGTTATCCCTGTATTATACTTCTATGTTTACGTATTGTAGCTCCATAAAAGTTAATAGTCAAACTCCCATCAACAATAATGAAATTAAGATTTCCTGATGTATGCTTTACATGTGATTCTTAGTCACAAATCAGAGCTTGTCATTCGTACTAATTTTGGCATTTTACCCCTAATTTGCATTTACTATGCACTGTCAATCTCTGTACGATTTTCCTAACAGCCATTAAATACCAGTTTGGTTTATTATACAAATCTAAGGCTTATAAGCCTTGGATCATAAAGTTTAAAAACTGACTATCAAAGGCATTTGCAATGCTAGACCAATAAAATTCATATGACCTGAAGTTATATACAGATAGAGAATGATCTGTGCTCAGCTAGTTCCTTTTGTTTTGTAGTAACATAAGGACGTGGCTATTTACCTCCCCCCTTTGGGCAGAGTTGGTAAATAGAATGTAAACATTATTATATTCAATCAAAAAGCATTGCTGCAGTTTGCGTAATTTTTTCTTTCCAAACTCTTGGCAGCTTTTCCATGTCTTGCATGTAAATAGCGTTCTTTTTGTTTAAGCTTTCTAAATTATAGTAAATATTTCTTCCTTAACTTTATGAATATTATTCTTATCTGGCTTAAGCTTTTGGTACTCTAGGATTAGATTTTAGTTCTAAAAAAGCATCAGTAATGACCAAGCATACTATCTTGCCCCGGCAAGACAGAAGAAAGGAGCTGCATTTCCTCTAGTCATTTAAGCCACTTCCTGACCTTCAGGGTGCTCTTTTGCTTAATTGTTTTGATTTGAGCTTTGAATGTTTTCTTTTGCTATCTCTGGTTCACAAAGAGAGAACTAATAGACCAAAGGTTAGACTTAGCCATCATTTTAAATGTCAAAGCTCATGCAGTGCTGTGAAGAGTATCAGTTTGGGACACTCCTCGCTATTATGAATCAGCTGTTAAATCCTTTTCTGCATCATACCAATTTAGCTACTCTGTTATTAATTTAGTATATATAAACATGTTGGAGATTCACTAATTACATTTGTCTCCATTTCAGTTCAGCAAGGTTTACAAAATTATAATTAACAATGAAAGGAAATAACAGGCTCCTCAGAAATCTGAGAGATGTCTACAATCCATGCAATTTTTATGTTTTATTCTTCTATGTCTTTTTATGCAGCACAGTCTCTTCCTGATCCAGCGGTAGGCTGCCAAACTCCTTCAATGCTTTTATAGGGGTTATAGACGACAATGGTCATAAATATTGTCCATAACAACTTTAAATCATTTAATAACAACTACATTGAATTCTCATGTAAACTCATTTGCTCAGCTAAGTCAAAACTAGCAACTTATGGCAGTGCAGCACTATACAGTGTTTGCTATCATAAAGTTAAAAGCTGTCTCATAGTGTCATAATTATATCTGCTTAAAATGTATAAGAAAATTTAATATTAGGACAAACAGATGCAGCACCAACTACCCATCCTTTCTAGGTCCTTATAAATTAAATCTTTCTGTTATGTCGGGGTGAGAAGGAGATTGTTAGCAAAGTCCTTTCTCTGGTTTTTGTTGTTTTGAATGTGGGGTGTTCTTTTGAATTAAAAGTGGAGTAGGCAACTTCTGACAAAATATCTGTGAGATTCAGTTCAATATATCTCAGTCTTCGGGGTTTTTTTTGTGTTGCATGACTGGGTACATTCTTTTCACTATTATTCAAGGAACAATTAAATCAACTCTGGCCATGGCACTGAAGACAATGATAGTGCCAGAAGCCTTGCCGATCTTGAAAAAATTACCTTTCCAATTATCAGATTTGGAACAATTATATGTTTATATTTATTTAGATATATTAGTTTTCAAATAACATCAGGACAGAGTTCTGTTTTTCTTTTAATTTCAGCTAGTACAGATTGGATTAACTCACTATGAAAAAGAACATTTTTTCAAACTTCCACCCATGCCATATGAACCTGGGATTTAAGATTTTTGGCTCGGGTATCATCAATAATAGTGTCTGTTAAGTTCTGATATGCATATTAAAAACATGTTCTAATATAATTCCAAATTCCAATTGATTTAAATTAAAATTTAGAAGCAAAAAGGTGTGTGAAATTTTTTTCTTGTATCTAGCTCCAAGTATGTAACAAAATTTTGCCTCCAGACCATCCCTCTGAACTCTTTGCCCTCAGGTTAGAGTCTTACTTAATAGTGGTACTTTCTAGTAGAACTACAAGCCCAAGAATATATGTATATAAGCATCATAGGAATTACTACTTTCACATTCAGCTACTGCATTTCCAGGATTAACTGTATCCAGGTCTAACCTCTCTTAGAGCTTTTCAGTGATGACACCTCAATAAACTGTTCAGTGCTCAGCTTTTCCTCATAATTATCTGAATCCTCCTTGCTGCAATCTAAGGTAATATGTGGCTTCATCAGTACGTAGTGTTGCCTTCATCTTTGCACCAGATTTTCTGTACTTTAAGACTGCTATCATATCCCTCCCTTTACTCAGGATGACTAACTTCATTATTAGCAAATTCTTTCAAGCATCTGATCTGAATCTCCCTAACATCCAAATTAAATCTCTAGTACTTCACATCTTTTCTGGGGTGGACAATGAGAACAATGTGTTCTCTTCTTCATCGCAATCTGTAGCATAGGGAGGATGCTTACCTCTCTCAGACTTCTCTTGAAACTAGAAAACTCCTTCTCTCCAGTCTTTTCAGATGACACAGACTTTCTAGATTTGCGACTGATTTTATCACTTTAATTCAGGCTTTGTTAATTTAGTGCACATCCTTCCTGAAGGGCAGTGTTAAAATTGGACACAATTCCAGCTGTGGCTTTAGCAGCTCTACAGCAGGATTACATCACATGTCATATATTACCTCACAAGCATTTGGACATCCCCAGTAAGATAGTTCTCCTTTAACCAAAGGCAGGACATTATTGGTGAATACTTAATGTGGGATTCATTACAACTTCCAAACCTTTTATGTGGAAGTCTCCTTAACCAGTAGTTTTCCATCCTGAATTTATTCAGCTGATAACACAGTGCTGTATTTGTTTCTGCTCAGTTACCTCCTTTTTGTCACAATTGTTCCGCATTATAATTCTGTTCTCTGAAGCACGTGCAGATTCTCTCAGCATTTGTGAAGGAGGAAAACGTAGTTTAACCTTAATTCTTCACAACTAAATCAGTACAAAAATACATTGCAAGGTAGCACAGGAACTACAAACTGCTGAAAAAGATGGCACCCATACTTTGCACAAAAGCAAAAAGAGAGACCTTAGAACTTGTATTCTTTACTGAGCAGCTCTGTCTTTAAAACAGATATGGGAAACTTCTCAATGTTAGAGAAATGAATTGCATTTCTGTAAATATAATGAAAATTTCATGCAACACCGATGATGTTTCTGTAATTGTCTTTTAGAAGAAATTATGTAATTACAAGAGAAGAAATTATGTAATTACAAGAATGCCACTTATTCATTTTGGTAGACAGAAGCACCAGGTTGAAACTACTGTATCTACGAAATTGTCACGGAAACACAACTGCTTACACAGTATATTTTAAAACTAGGATGTCATGCATAAGGTGGAAACACCATCTGACAAGCGGAATCTTAATTCTGTGGCAGCATGTGACCCAAGTAGATTTATCCATTTAATAACACTTGTATCTGGACCTAGTTATTCGGGGTGCTTACTGTAGGCACGCATTGGGACAGCAATTAAAAGAGGTCCTTGGCCACCGCGCCTTGCAGGGCGCAGGCCGTGGGCAGAGGCCTGGCCTGCTGCTCTGGCAGCGCTGGGGGGCACGGCCCACCTCGGCCAGGACCG